ACTCATGGTGATTAGCTTTGTGGAAGAATTAAAATCAGTGGCGGACTAGGGGCGGAGGAGAGGTTCGCCCCGGGCCTCTTATCCTGGGTGGCTTCCAAATGGTTGCTAGTTCCCTTGATCAAATTATAAATTGGGGTGGTAATGCCTTATCTTTCTTATCTCCAGTTTCGTAGTTTTAGTAGGCGTATTAGCAGGGGGAGTGTGTGTAAACGCAATATCAATTTTCTGCCCAACCCTGATATTCTGTAAAATACAAATCCGAATTCAAATTCACTCAGGTGTCCGAATTAACTCCAAAAAGCGGCATCCCCTCAATCTTAAATTGCTAATAACGTTTCGTGGCATATGTGAAGGGAGTTTTGAAATGACATAGGAATAGAATATCTGAAACATGTATATTCAATCAATTTTGTTTTCTATTTTTATATAAAAAATGGAATCTATAGAATTTTTATACTAAATGATGTGAATACGGACACATGAGTGAATTCGAGTTTGGGTCTGGATTTTTACAGAATCGCAGGGCAGGTTGGAAAGTTGCAGGTTCGAGCCTGATGCCGCCCCAGGCTCCCGACGACCTTAGTCCGCCACTGATTCAAATACTTATAACTTTACAATCTTGAAAAGTTTCACTATAGAAATCTTATCCCTGCTTTTAAGAAGGCGTGTGCACACTAAATCCATTACTACAAGAACATACAAAACTATTGTTCTAAATTTGAATACTTATATAAAATTATTATACTGTTAATATGCAATTAATTTATTCATTCATTTATAACATTTTATTATTTTCAATGTCCTTTTAAGGAGAATCGTTTTTGTTGGTGCAGTCCGTGGCACTAGAATCATTCAAAAGTGTTTTAAGATCTTCGATATCGCACCACAACTCTGCATGATACATCGCTGCAGTTTCCATTTCCAACTCTGCTGCTGTCACTAACAAACAGTGCATTTTAAAACAAATATATTTAAATATCATACAAAAAAAAAAAGCAAGACTGTCAAGAACGAATAAAAAATAACATGGGTTTTCCCACGAGATACTGAGATCTGCAATACTGCAAACAAACGATAAAAGAAAAGAATTGTATTATAGCTTGGTTAAGCAAATAAATTATTTTTAGTTTGATTTTCGCAGTCATGTTATTTCAAATTATTTATTTTTATTTTATTCCCTTTAGTGGTCAGTATATATTTTTGGAATTTTCTCGTCAAGACCTTTTATTTCATGCCCATATTGTTATGAATTGAAGAAATATATAACAAACACGCAATATAATATACATAAATATGTGTTAACACTCAACTTCTTTCATATAGTCCGAAGCAATAGGAACTTACTACGCAAGTTTCTGACAATTTCTATGTACTTTTTCATTCGTGCAAGATCTAAATCTGTTTCATTTTGAAGGTGACTGTAGAAAGCGGGATCATTAACATCGATAGAGTCCACTAAATCTTTTTTAGGATTATCCATTTGCTGAATTAAAATTATTGAGTTATACAAATGCAAAACTTAAAGTTAGCAATTTGGTATTTAAAATAGGCGGTACTTTTTAGGTTTCATTATTAAGAAGGCATAGGAATCTGTGCCTCAAAGGTATATCAAACTTCAATATTTTTATATGCACTTGTTTTGGATAGACTATGAATTAAAGTAATTAACGCACACTTATAACGTTTTAATTTGATATAATATAGCGTAAGTAATAGTCATAAAAATATATACTATTTTTAAAATTAGTTCTTGAAATCAATGAGGATGTATTTAAAAAAAAACATTAATTCCCGAAATCAAACTAGATGTCGCTGTGGTACGTTCTTGATTTCTCCATGGCAACCCTTTCGGTTTTCTTTCATGTTTAAAAGTAAATTAGTTTTCAAAACTCAATTTACAATTAATATTCTATTTGTATTTTTAGTTAAAAGGAAAGGAAATCACTGGCTTTTGTCCATTCGTTTCCTGTAAAAATCAACATTTGCTAAAGAGCTTTTTTAGTGCTTTCGTTTTTTAAAACACTTCCTCAATGACATTTAGATCCTACAATTTGTGCTACCATCTAATGACATAAGTTTTTCTAGCTTCTTTAATTTTTTTAAATACTTCCTCATTATTATAACATTTGTATTATTTGAATGTAAACAAATTTAGGACAAGGCTGCATGATTAATCCATCTAGGTCTAATATTAAAAATTTCAACTAGTGTTTGCCTCTTTCTAGATTTTCAAAAATCGGTACTATTTCCTAATAAATCGATATGTTTTTTTAAATGCTTGATACCTTAAAAATCTATGTTTTACAAATTGTTTTGATTTCTCGTACCATAAATATTAATCAATAATAAGGAAGTACAAAAATTGACACTATTATAAGAGATCTGATAGCACCAGATAAAATTCAGATGTGTTTGTTTAAGGAGTTATAAAAAATATTATTCGTTGAATGTTTTTTTTTAAGATATTCTATGATTTATGTTTTATATTAAAATTATATTCTTAACGTTTATGATAGGGATACATCTTATAATTTAATAATATCATTAACAGAGCACATGATATCATTCGTAAATCAATAAGTAGATAGATAATAGGACTAGTTCATTGTCTCATTGCATATAGTAATTATAAACGTTAAACGTCATTCAAATGTTTTTTAATTTATATTTAGAAAGAGTACATTTTTATCCTATAATTATAAGTGTTACGTATTTCAATGCAAGAATGAAGGGAATTATACATTTTCAAAAAAGAAAAGTTCATAACCATTGGAAGCGGTAATGCATTTTCTTTACACCAACCTAACGAATTAAAATTATTAATTGAATCCTAGCTAGCTCGGTGTAGAGTAGCTCGGTGGCGTAGTGGATAAGTGCCGCGGTCCACGATCGTTGTCGTTAAGCAACTTTCGCAAGCGTCGGTCACGGAATGGGTGAGCAAAAAATGATTATGTCAAGCTACTCCGTGTTTCGGAAGGCACGTTAAGCCGTTGGTACTGGCTGCATTTACAGTCGTTAATACCCTCCAATCCACATTGGGCTAGCGTGGAGGGTCATGGCCCATCCTCCTTAACCATCCATAAGGAAGGCCTGAACCCCTGCAGTGGGGACGTAAAAAGGCTGATGATGATGACGATGATTGAATCCTAAATTATAGGATTTAATTGAAAAGTTTTAAAACGAATCATCATTAATTAAAAAAAAAACTGAATTTTATCACTTACATAAAATAAAAATGTTTATGAAAATAACATAATTTTACATATATGTGTACATGACATTTTTTTATTACTTGTATTTTTTTAGTACAATTGCATCCTTATGCAATTTTATAAGTTTCCGATCAACTATTGACATTTTATTATTTTAATTAAAACAAATAGCACAAAAATCATCAAACTGAAGCAAAAGGGCTATTATATTAGTATCACGAATGAAATATGGGAAATGTCCCTGAGGTCAGAGGTAGTGATCGTCAAGGGACCGATTTGTCTATCATTTCACCAAGCGATATCGATTAAATAAGAAATCGATTCAAACGACACTTTAGGGCTGCCATACTAAGTGACTCAGCTTAACTTTTGGGAGTTTTAAAGCTATCCTAGAACAATGGGAGCAAGGAGGAAATACTCTGGGGGGAACTAGGAGAGAAACTGTTTTTACTTGTGCGTTTTAATTTCCAGAATTCTAAGGCAATGAAAACTAATGCAATTTATAATAGGTATTCGACAATAAATATTATTATTAACACTATTATCGTTCACTTTAAATTAGTAATTTTTTAAACGTATAAATGAACGCAAAATGGGAATATGTGTGAATACGATTTAGAAATTTGGTTAAATAATTACATTTTACCGAATTTCTAAATATGGATGCACAAGAAAAATATGGTAACAGTTTATAGGTTCAAAATCAAAAATCAAAATCGTTTATTCAGTCTAGGCTGTTACAAGCACTTGTGAAAGTCGAGAGCTACGCCAACGGTTCGTAAATCTACGGCGGGAGACCTTGTTCCGAGAAGAACCGGCAAGAAACTCGGCAAGGGCTGGGTTCATTGCTAGTATGGGCACTTTTGAAGAGAACGGCTGTTGCTATGCCTCCTCACACATATGCGCCCTTTTAAATCACAAAAAGTGGCGAAAAATTCTGACTTCTTTCATCTTGGTAAAAAGTTGAAAATAGTAACAGTGATATATTGAAAACTTTTCTGGTCATATAATCGTACTTTCTCCTCATAACATGCCCATACCAGTGCAAGCAGTTCTCCTGCATTTTATCTACTATATTGTCAGCTTTGAACGTACCCATAATATGGTTATTTCTGACCTTATCCCGTAGATTGGCTCCTCAAAATCAATGCAGCATTTTCATCTCAGTCACGTGAAGCTTTTGTTCGGTTGCTTTGTGAAACAGCCAGCGTCCAGAGCCATATGTAAAAGTCGGTCCTACTGCCCTTTTATAGACGTTCCTCTTCATCTGTATCAGCATTCTCGAATAACAGAGAATTCCGGTCAGTGCTCTCCACTTCAGTCATCCTGTTACTATTCGGCTTTCTATATCAGCATTAGTTGTACCATTTGATGTGATCACTGAACCGAGGTACTTAAACTTTTCGACCTTTTTAAGAAGAGTGCCACAAATTGACAAAGTTGATGTGCTATTATTAGAACCCAAGAAGTTACACTGCATATATTCATTTCTCTATTCGGTCTTAGCACTTCATTCTAATATTTTTCTAAATTTATATGAATGAAAAATATTAATATTTTCTATTAGTATTGAATAGACTCCGAATACACTGGTCTGATTTGAACAATTCTTTTAACAATGGATTCATAAATTAATGACATTAATAAATTTATCAAGGATTAAGGTTTAAGTTACTAATTTGATTATAATACATGTGCGAAGCAGTGGAGGGCCTCTAGTTAAAAATAGATGTGAAAGTGGAATTTCTTGGTGGTAGCGTCTTTTTTAAGAGTTTTCATTAGATTTCTTACCTATTGATGATATAAAAATTTAATGCTTTTTTGGTTTAATCATTCTATACCAATTTCGGTAAATATCTTGTGAATTTGGCAGTTGATCAATGAATATTTATGATAACATATTTGTGATTTATTCATATTTATATTTGCAATATTATAAATAAATACCAGAGATTTTATTCTATTATTTGACTTAATATTTCAGCTGTGCTTTTCTATTCGTTTTTAGTTTTCATTTGATCATAATATTTGATAAGAATTAATTTAAATTGGTGTAATAAAGAGCAGCTCATGAAAATAAGTCAAATAGATAAACTCAAAAGTATTTAAAGAGATTTAATTTGGAGAAATTCTAGTGAGATTTTCTTGGGAAAATCAAAAGGCAAATTTGGCAACACTGCGCCATTCTTAGAATCTACCTTCTCTTCTGTCACGCGTTCTTTACTGCGAACACTCGTTCAGTGTTTTTAATTTTTCATCTTTTTACTCGTTTAATTCACTCATGATTATTTATTAACACTTTTGGTACTTTTAATAAGTGTTTTTAACAATGATGAGCGACGACGATCGCGATATAGACATTGAAAGTGACGTGAGTGTCTTTATGAGTAGAAAAACTGGCATATTCGTTTCTTGTTTATTTTGATTCATAAGTTTTGTTGTATTTTCAGGCTGAAAACGATTCAGATTCAAGAACACATGCGAGAAACAGTATTGGTGGAAGCGGATATTACTCTCAGGTAATTGTTTATGTAAAGAGGGTAGATTAGTATTAAGATTTGAAATGGATTTTTAGTACCATGTGTTATTTTTCACAAATATTAGACTTTATTTGATTCATCCAACATCTAACTTTATGTAATACATTTTTTTTATAGGCAGACAAAAGGGCTCATCACAACGCACTGGAAAGAAAAAGAAGAGATCATATAAAGGATAGTTTTACTTCCTTAAGAGAATCTGTACCAGCATTGCAAAATGAAAAAGTGGTAAGTGTATTATGCAGCCTAATACCTATTGACGGCAGTTTTTTTTTTTTGAGTATTGTTTTTAAATTTATTCATAATCAGGGGTATTCATATATTTTTTTTAATACTGACTTTGTGCACAGATTCTTTATACAAAATGATGTCTACATTAAATGTCAAAATTTTTATGTTTAAGGCAAGTCGAGCCCAAATATTAAAGAAAGCAGCAGAATATATTCAATTTATGAGGCGGAAAAATAACTCACATCAACAGGACATTGAAGATTTAAAAAGGCAAAACAATTTGCTTGAAACGCAAAGTAAGTATTGTTAAAAATATAAAAAGAAAATATCTAAAGTACCTGCCACAAAATATTACTTAAAACTATTCTTAAATTGAAACTTCAGAATTGGGTCAATGTGGTAATTTGTTTTAAGTTAAAGGAAGGTTGAGAAGGTTTCATTGTTCTTTTATTAGAAGTTATTAGGTTTCTTTGTTATAATTTGTTCAAATTTTTTAGTGTCTTTGTCATAGCTAATTTAACCCCGCTGGAGTAATTATCCTCCTAGTTTAGGAATTATTGATCTAATCAAATTGACTAATAATAGGATTTAAAACAATTCTAGTTCGTGCCCTAGAGAAAGCTCGTGCAACAGGAAACTTTATGGATGCCCATGAGTTGGGTCTTGGCATCAAATCTGAGAGCAGTTCACATGATACAGATAGTTCTGATGGAGAAGGTACTACACGGCGTGTTAAGAAACTCAAGATCCACTCCACAGGGTAGACATATGTGATACTGTAGTCTGTAGGGTGGACAATAAGTAAGTGTGAGTACTGGAGTCCCATTCATGTTTCTTCTTCTCAGTAGTAACATTCTTGGCAGAGTGGTTGTGGTCATCTGGTGTAGGTGATGTAGCTTGCCTTACGACATCTCGTCATTTTCCTCTGTCACTTGACATCTTTGAGTACTTGTGTAGGGGCATGCCCACCCAGGATTTTATTTGGTCAGTCCATCCCATTGGTGAGCGCCTGGGTGGTCTGGTTCTTGCAATCCTACTTTGGATGACGATTCATGCTAAATGTCCACAAAAATTGCTGCCAATGTTACCAAATATTTTTCAGTTAATTTGAAACGTTAATAGAGATGTATAGAGACTTTAAGTCATAAGCATTGACCTTGAATGAATTCATTAATTTCTAGGTCCATTGGTCGGTGAATTACTGACAGTAGAACACCAACTGTCCTCCGATTCGCTTATTGGTCTATATCACATCAATAATTTGTATTATTTCATTCACTATAAGTCCATTCAACCCTTTTTATGCATATCCCCTCAATTTCTTTTCAGTGTCTCTAGCCCTTTTTCTTTTACTTAATATACAGCTTAATATAAAGCTTATGAAATGTCGTTGTTTGCATTACATATTAAGCATGTTTAGCACAGGGTTTCCCAAACTATTATGAGTAAGAGAACACTATTCCAAAAAGAACTCATAGTGAATTTACTTTAAAAATACTATCTCTTGTTTTTTTTCCTATTGTAAACTTCATATAACTCACCTATCAAAGGTTAACATAGTTATATAGACAAAAGCAGTCAATATCATGTATAATTAATAATATTATTAACTATAAACATTAGTCATTCTTATGACAAGTTGATAAATGCACTCAAGAAACTCATGTACTTATATTAGGCTGACAGCGCCACCCTTTCGATTTTTGAAATAAAATTCATGATCCATCTAGTATCTTATTTATCAGTCTATTATGAAATGGGGACAAATAGCCAAGTTACATAGTTTCTGAAATATGATCTTTGGCAGCGCCACGATAAATCCTTTAAAGAATTCAGTAAATTACACAAATTATCTCAACCACAAAGTATTTACTGCTCGGACTATTCTAATTGTTCTAGTCTCATATTATTGTGACGAAATACTGCTATAACGTGATCAAACCTAGAATTGTAATTATTATGAATCAAAGTTAAATGCTTAGCGTCTGCCGAATTCTATCAGCAGAAAGCAAACTTTTCCGATGGTAAAATCATAGCAAATATACACTCATAACAAACCACAATTCGACAGGCGTTACACATTTGAAATTGAACCATAATTATTACGATTCTGGGTTTGATCTCATTATTACAGTATAAGTATGTCTCAATAATATGAGACTAAAACATTAGATTGGAATAAAGCGGTAAAATACTTTGTGCTTGATGAGATAATTTGCGTAATTTACTCCACTTGATTGTATCGTTAGGTGGTGATTATTCGCAAGATGTCAAAAGTTTCAATGTTTTATGAGCTAATTTAAAAAATATAGCGTGGCGCTACCAGTCTGACGTCAGTCCAGCAGTGCTATATTATTTCTTAATTATCTCTTAAAAAGTATTCACATTCGCCATTTATCGCCGCTTTGTTCCAAACTGATAAATTAGGGACTAAAAGATGACCTGGAAAGTTTTTTTTGGAATTCATTATAACTACAGAGATCTAGCCGTGGCGCTGTCAGAGTGACGTCAGCCCCGCAGCGCCACAAAGATTTGTCTGTATTTCTTAACGATATGATAAATCAAGAATTCATTTCAAAATGGAAGAGGGTGGAGCTGCCAGCCTGATACACACTCGTGATAGTTAAACACGGGTTGATTTTTAGATCTTATCAACACCCCAAAATAAGTTTTATTGTATGACCCCTGGTAAATTTAATTAGGCACCAATTTGCCGAAACCAATCACTTTGGGAAGCCCTGGTTTAGAATATGCTGTTTAAACACCGTTTAATGATTGCAGAATCATAACGCATTGGGAATCGCTTCGGAATCGTATGATATATAGCATGTTTGGGCCCATTGTACACAATGTTGGGAGTATGTGTATTTGCCACCCTACATTAACATTTGACAATTTTATCCTCATAGGTTATAAGATGCTTCTTGAGCTCATAAACAAATGTTTCACCTTCATAGTTTTAAATACGAATTTAAAGTCATCTGTTGTTTGAAGTTGTGTTGTTTTGATGTTTTGTATAAAATACTTCAAATATAGGATGACAGCGTATATTTTGAGGGATTGTTAGAAGATTTTTGAAACATTTCTTTGAGCTAACTGTATGTCATTAAGTATTTAGTATTAAGGTATGATTAATAACCATGTTTTGATTGAATTTTCTCACATTTAGTTGCTGTTGGAACTCAGGTCTTGTATGTAGACATGTTTTTCTATCATGAATTAGTTTTTTCTTGGTCGAAACTCGAACATTGGGACTAGAACCGAATCACCACTTTTTAAATGATATTTTAATTTAAACATATACAAACGACAAATATAAAGTTTGTATGAAATCCCACACTGTTTGATTGATTGATGATCAATGATTTAAAATGAAGTTTTTATTTTCAAATATCATTAAATGTTAGTTCAAATATAAAATTAATTTTCATTAAATAATTATGTTTTTGGTTGGTTTTAGTAACTTTGTTCCGATGTGTATTATATAATAGTGTTTTTTTTTTTATATTGTTATTGATATAGTAAGCAGCTACATGTAAGAATCTTCAATGGTTAAGCAATTAGAGTTAAGGTCTCCATTTTACTTGAACATTGTTTTTTAGACGGCTAAGTTAACACTTTTTTGCTTGCATTATACAATACTGTATAAATTTTAGTTTTTATGATTTACATGGCATTGGAAAATTGAAATGTATTATGATTGAACCACTTGATATAATTATTATAAAACACCCATATATTACAATTTACGTGTATATTAACTTATACTTTCTTTAAGTCTGTGTTGTATTAGTACAAATATGTAATGAAATATTAATAACAATAAGTTATCAGTTATTTTGAAGTTGCCGGAATGGTAACGTAGCCTAAATTGACAGTTGTTACCGTGTTACCAATTTTTTATACATTGACCTTTGTCAACACGAACGTATCTTTTATACTTGACATTTTAACAGTAGCCAAATGTAATATCAATGTTGTCTTGGCCGTCCCTTAGTATCGTTTAGGATATGCGTACATTTACAGGGTGTACCATAGGAGTGTGTGAGAACTGATTGATAGTATTTTTTTTTATAATTGCATTGATAAATACAAAAACAGTTTTGCATATATGAAAATAGTTAATTTCCATGCAGTTTATATTCAAAACAAAACATTTTGATGATTTTAAGAGGTTACTTGAAGGTCACTGTTGGAAACTCGAAAATTAATGAAGATTTAACGAAACAGAAGATAGTTTTCTTCAGAATTTTAAATTAACAGGAATGTTTTAATCGCTATAAAAAGCGATTAAGTTCATTTGCTAATTCAAATGAACTACATCACGAATGGGCATCTCTCATTTATACCTATTTTTTTTTACATATAAATTGATCTGTTATTAATCCTTTTCTTTTATATCGAAAAGTAACTGAATGACAACTGACTATTATCATTCATATATGCAAAGTAGTTGTTGATTTTTAATTACTGTATTTATAAATAAATGAAAGTTGATTAGTTTTGAAACATTCTCATGTGAAGCTCCGTAATTGTTCTTTTTGTAGATTTAGAGAAAGCATTTGATAGAGTAGTGAGACAGGAACGGAATATGTGTTGAGATATGGATTGAAGGTATCCTGCTGTGCAGCACTTATGACTATAGCATGTGTGTGGGTAGATGGCAGCTTGTCGTTTTGATTTGCCGTCAATATTGGTTTGGCAGTGTAGCTGTTTGAGAGACTGTGCTCTGGAGGAGTTTTTGTGGTCTACTCCTGTGTACCGCCTTCGAGAAACCGGAGCGTTTGGTGTATAGGTTCCTGTTTAGTGACTTACTCTTCAGGATAAGTCCGCAAAGGAGACTTCCACATGCTAGGTTTAAAGGTGTATGTAGAATGTATTTATGTAAGCCAATAAAGAGGGTAGCTAGCTGGTTATCGGGAATTCTGTTTGTCACATATCTCTGCACTAGCATTCGGAGAATAAGAACTATGAATGTGGGATTGTGAATGGGTGATCTAATTGTTAACAGGCTGTTTTTTGCAGATTACGCCGTGCTGCTTGCAGAATATCCATCTGCATAGAAACGAAAGATGATGATGAACTTCAAGTGCAGAAAACCAGCATGTAATGTTGAAGAAATTGGATGAAATTGTATATATTGGATGGGATTTTAGTACGGGAATGGGTACATCGTTAATGTTGAAGGGATCAGAATAAATCTAGCTGGATAAACTTCTTGTCAATAAAAACTTAGATCGCAGGCCGCTAGACACAATGTGTACCTAAGTAGTTAGCGAAAGTAGGTTTATTATATATCAGATGTCATGGGATATCAGAGAGTATACAAGTAAAATAAAAGTCGAGATGTTATCGTCATGCAGAATGCGGAATAAAGCTAGCAGAAGCCATTTGTAACGGAATGTTGATCTGAAAGTTAGTTTCGGTGTATAAGTAAAGAGAGGAATGCTCTTGTGGTTCGGACTTGTAGAAAGAATGCTGGATGAAAGAATGATGAAAGTGACGATACAGTGCAAAAGTGGATGTATGTGGAAATCTGGGGAAGTCCAAGACGCACCTTCACGATCATGATGCGTGATGCCGAAAGTCATAAACACCGGAGCACGAAGTGCGTAAAGCTTGTGGGCTTTTGCTTCCATCTAATTACCCCGGCAATTCGGAGTGTTGCAATACATAAATAATATTGTTCTTCTAAATTCGCTGACTTCAATTTTACTATACAGCAAGCCCGGATTGACTTAGAACGTTCAATGAATATAACAATAAGTTAAATTTGAAACTTTCGGTCAGTTGCACAAACGACCATTAAGGTTTAATTACGCCTTTCAGCTCTTAGGAATGCCAAATTTGTATCGGAAATGTTGCTTTAAACTAATTTTTTATTAAATTAGACGTTTGTGCAACTGGC